AAAAGAACTGCACAGGGCTGGGGACAGGGTCTCATTACATTGCTAAATTGCTACACTGGCCTTGAACTCACAGCCCCCTGCCTCAGCCTCCCCAAGTGCTGGGGTGACCCGCGTGTGCCACCACAGCAGGCCTTCTACTTTCTTAATGTAGAATATCTGGGAGCATGTCACTGGGCTTTCCTGTGTGCTTTGGCTCTGTCTTCCTTTTTGCTGCGGCTGAGTCTGAAGTTGAGGAAGCGTAAACACAGCCTGGCTGCGTGGACAGAGCAGGGCAGCTGGGTAAAGGCGGAGCTGCGATAGCCCTGCCTCTGGCTGTCCGCGTGGCTTAGGGGACAGACCTGCAGCCGGGCTGAGCCACAGCTGATTCAGTTTTTGTTTTTTACACCAGGTCTACTGTATAGCCCAGGCTGGCCCCAAATCAGTGTCCTCCTGCCTCAGCCTCCTGAGCCCTAGATAGCAGGCATGCGCCCCACAACCAGCCCCAGCTCCCAGTTTTATGTCCCATTCTGTACTAAACTCACCCAAGGCCCCAAGGACTCGTGAAAGCAGGCAGACACAGCCAGTGGGAGGGAGGTGACATGAAGTGACAGCATGTGGCAGGACTGCATCAGAGGTGCAGCGGGCCTGGAAACCCCTCTCCCCCACCTCCCCTGCATGCTGCTTCCTGGGTGACTCCAAGGAGGGTGAGACCTGCAACAAGGCCAACAGCCCTCCCCGCCCCATAGCCCTCGATGCCAGGTCCCAGATGGGAACACTTGGAACCGCTTGTGGTTCTAGAGTTGCCAGCACAGTCTCCCCCTGCCCCTCCGCCTTATGGGTTGTGCCACTTTTCTGTATTTATTGATGTGTTGGCTTTTGGAGGCTGGGTCTTGCTATGTAGCCCAGGATGGCCGAGAACTAGAACTTGGAAGATCCTTCTGCTGCATCCTCCTGGGAGCTGGATGGCAGGTGTTCCGGTATTCTTTGCTGGCTCACGCAGTGTGCGCATGCGTGGCGTATGTGTGTGTGCATGCACGCGCGTGTGCACATTGTGTGTCACTCTGGGAACCAAGGTCTCGGGATCCTTTGCCCTGGCAGCAGCACCCTCACCCGTGTCTCCCTGCAGTGTCTGGCCGTAGGCCATTCGTGGACAGCAACCTGCTCTACCAGTTCCGCACCAACTTCCGCCGTCGCCGGCGGCTGATGGAACTGCTCAGCGAGACGTCCCCAGGTGCCCCTGATGCACATGACAGCCCCTTCTGCCCGCGCCGGCAGAGCCACGATGCTCGCAAGGCCACCAGCTTTGTGTCAGGTACACACAGGCCCTGGGGTGCGGGGCGTGGGGCTCAGCGCCTGAGAAGAGGCAGAGCAGGGCTCCAGCCAGAGTCACAGCTACCCGAGAGGCTGAGGCAAGAGGATGCAGCTCAGGGGACTGCCTGGCTGTGGAATGGAAGGGAAGCTCTGGGCCGAGGTCCTGGCCTGGCCTGGGCAGGAGGAAGCTCGGAATTGAGGAGAAGCATCCAGGCCGCGCTCAGGAGAGGCCAGGTTCCACCCAGGGCAACAGAAGACACAGGTCAGGGTCTCTTGCATGGTGGTTCGGTGTCCAGGGAGAGTTGCCTGGCCATCGCGGAGCAGCAAAAGCCAGGGTCAGCGACTCCCCGTAGCATGGTGGGTTGCCATATCGTGTAGTCACTGGGCGGCGACCAGGAGCCGACAACCTGCAGTCTGTCTCTAGAGACAGGGTCTCACTATGTAGCCCGGGCCAGACTCAAACTTGCAGTCCTCCTGCCTCAGCCTCCTGATGCCAGGTGCTGCCTGGAGGGTGTGGGGTCAAGAAGGGACCCCATGGCTGCACGCACACTGCGGGGCCCTCTAGCCACCCTCGCGCCGGGGGCGCCAGGCTCCCTCATTGACACTGAGTCTCGATAAGCTGTACAGGCTCATGCTGGAGCCCCTCCTGACTCAGCCTCTGGGGGCCTGCGACCCGTGTCCCCCCACAGTGAGCCCCAGCAAGGAGATCAAGGTGGTTTCTGCGGGGCGCAGGAGCAGCCTGAGCAGCGGCGGCAGCAGCGGCTACTTCAGCAGCAGCCCGACCCTGAGCAGCAGCCCCCCGGTGCTGTGCAACCCCAAGTCTGGTGTGTGCAGGCGGGAGGGGGAGGCTGGCTTGGGTCCCACTAAGGGTGGGAAGGGGAGGAGGGAGGCTGCAGGGACCCTGCCGCCCCTGGCTGGGACAGCCGTGAGCCGCCAAGTGTTCCCATCCCCATGCACTGAACTGCTGCTGCACACTGGTGCCCAGGGACAGGGCTGTGCCAGCACTTAGGAGGCTGAGCTAGGAGGCTCGCTGCAAGTCCAATGCTGGCCTGGGTGGCATAGCAAGACTACCTCAAAGAAGCCAAAAATAACAACAGCAGAAATAGATTGCGGCGTGTAACAGCAATGGAAGCAAAGGGCACAGTAGTGTTATGGGCTCAAATCACCCACAAGCCCACCCTCTGCCCACTCCTCAGGAAAATCATTTCCTGTGAAACTGGCCTTGAGTGCTTCGGGGATCCTCCTGCCTCAGCCTCCTGAGTGCGGGGATGGCAGGCTGCGCCACTGTACCTGGCAGCAATCTAACTTTGCTGCGCCTGCCTTCTTGTGTATGAAGCAAACGTCAGAAGGAACTGAGGCACTGGTCTCACGGCCACTAAATGGAGGCCACGCCAGCCTAGGGAGCAGCCCATGGGTGTGCCAGAGCCCCAGGCGCGTGGAGTGTGGCCCAGTGTGCAGGCCTCCAGGGGGCCAGCCGGGAAAGGGGGCGCTGTGGTTGGGGAACACAACACAGGACCACTGCCCTGCAGCTCCGGTTGCTTGAGCCTCTGAGGGGAAAAGGCACGTGGAGGTACATGGCAGAGTAGAAGCCCTCCTCTTCACCCTGCTTCTCTTTCCTCCCTTCTTAAACTTTATCCCTCCTGAAGCTGGGCGCAGTGATACACACTTGTTATCCCAGCTGTAGGGAGGCTGAGGCAGGAGGATCGCTGCAAGTTTCAGGCCAGCTGAAATTACATAGCAAGACCCTGTCTTAAAAAACAACCCCAGAAATGTGTTTTCCCTTTCTCCAGATAGCTGGGAGCTGGCTCCAGAGTTTGCTGCTGCTTGCCTTCTGCTGTGGCTGGCGGTGGGGGGTGGGGAATGGGGGGCTTGTGGACGGCGGTCCCTGACTGAGTCTGTCCCCAGTGCTGAAGAGGCCGGTCACCTCAGAGGAACTGCTGAGCCCGGGGGCGCCCTATGCCAGAAAGACATTCACGGTAGGCAGCTCTGTGCCCTTTCCCCTCCCCGCCATCCCCCCCCCCCCCCCCCCGCCAGGGCAGTGGGTGGAGCAGGTGACCGTGGCTCAGCCGGCCGTCCCACGCTGCACAGTGAGTTCGAGGCCACCCTGAGGTGCGCAGGGAGACCCCGTGCCCCCTACCCAGAAGGACCAAATAAGTACAGAAAATCGGCCGTGCCTCAAGCCTGCGTGGTACCGCCCACCCGATGCCTACAGGAGGAGCGGCCGCTGGTCCCCGGCAGCCCGCATCAGGGCTCCCTGTACGCTTGCCTTCTGGTCTTCTCTCACGTTAGTTTCTTCCTTAAGAAAACTGGGTTTCAAGAGAGCCAAGACTCCGTTTCCCACGGTTGGTCGCTTGCTTTGGTGTTACAGATCTCGGGGACACAGCTAGATCCAACACGGGCCAGTGGAACGCAGCGTGCCAGGGCATGCCTGCCGCCCAGGCCTGCGGGAGGCTGAGGCAGGGTGACTGTTAGGAGTTCAGGGCCAGCCTGGAATGCACGGCGAGACCCTGTCTCAAAATAACGTGTGTCCGGCCTGACCTACAAGGTGAGCTCAGAGACAGCCTAAACTGCATAGCGAGACCCTGTCTCAAAAAGACAATAAAATAAAAACGTGTACCATTTGGACCCAGAGAAAAAAAATGAACTTGGGGAAGAAATTGGGCAAGGACAGGGCCTGCATCGATTGAAATCACAGCCCCCCAGGCTGATGCTAAGTCTGCTGTGGCCGTGGTGGCGCTCATGTACGGAGCGGGGAGTCCCGTCTTGGGGCTGCTCACTTTACTGTGCCCTCCTTCCAGATCGTGGGCGACGCAGTGGGCTGGGGCTTCGTGGTGCGAGGAAGCAAGCCATGCCACATCCAGGCCGTGGACCCCAGTGGGCCTGCAGCCGCCGCGGGAGTGAAGGTGCTGGTGCTTCCCTGCTTCCCCGTCCTCTTTCAGGTCCTTGGGCTCTGTTGGCTTGGGTTCAGGGCTTACGAACCCTCACCCTTGGCTGGCTGGCTGGCTGGCTGGCTGGCTTTCTTTCTTCTGATGTATTTAGTATGGGGTCTCACTACACAGATTGGACTCATAGTGATCCTCCTGTTTTCAGCCTCCTAAGCACTGGGATTACAGGCACACGCCACCATGCCCAGTCTCAATCACTGTCTGAACATGCCCTGGGGGTGGGACTGGGGGCCAGCACTGCAGGCCTGTGATCAATCTCTGGTCCCTGTGTCTGCCTAAGCAGGCACTTTAATACATTGAGCTATCTGACTGGCCCTAAGCTATCTGGCTGACCCTTACCTTTCTATTTGCTTGCTTTTTGAGATGGGGATTTGCTATGTACCCTATGCTGGCTGGGGACTAAGGACAATCCTTCTGCCTCAGCCTCCTGAGTGCTGGGGTAACAGACGTGCACCACCACACTGGCAGAAACCTTTAATCCTTGGTAAAAAACACGGCATCTCATGCCCTGCAGAGAGGACTGGATTCTGTCCAGGCGCTTGGTTCACCTGGGTGGGCTCACACATGGGCCAGCAGATGGGTGCTTGTCTGGGTGCTGGGTGGACTCCTCACGGACCTGGTCATCACAGTTGCTGCCCACGCAGGCCCAGGCTGCCCAGCCAGCTCACAGGAGGGACAGGCAGCAGGCTGTCAGTAGAGGCTGCCCTGGCCTGTGCTCCCCGTGGAGCCCCCAGCTTCTCTGTAACCTGCTGGGATGAGTGATGGATGGGTCGAGGCTCTCTGGGCCCCCTTTCTGTTTGCTCCTGGCTGCGTGTGTTTGTGGAGAAGGGGACTGTGTGAATCGGAACAAGGAGCCTTGGGAGGGGCCCAAGGGGCCGTGGGAGCCTTTCAGCTGCCCCCCCCCTTTTGCTGGGTGTTTTGTTTTGCTTGGACAGGGTCTCACTCTGCGGCCCATGGTGGCCTCGAACTTGTGGTGATCCTCCTGCCTCAGCCTCCAGAGGGCTGCATCACAGGTGTGCCCCACAGTGCCATCTAAACTGGTCAACTTTACTTCCTCGCACCGGAGACGGAGGGAGCGCATGTGCGTTGCCGTGAGCTTGAGAGCCAGAAGGGAGGCCGCTCAAAGCCATGTTACGATTTTGATCGGTGACTTCCTTCTCCACTATGACCAGCCTCTGTTCCCAAGGTCGCCTCATGGCACAGAGCAGCTGCTGAAGGCCGGGTATGGAGACACACACCTGTGATCCCACCACCCAGAAAGCTGAGGCAGGAGGATC